CGGCACTGCTCCCGCTTGATTTTGACATCCCATTTCTGTTTTTCTTTTCAGCATTTCATGTCCCTTTGTCCCCTGTGGAAGGTAAACACAAACACAGTCTCCCTTCCTTCCCCCCCCCACCCGGCTTGTCCCGCTCCCCCCGCTCTGCTGCTTTCACAACTGGGGAGGGCGTGATTCCTTCCCAAAGGCAGTGGCAGCAACTTCCAGGACCCAGATTCTGCCAGGGTGGCGCACTTTGCAACAGGGGCCTCCCTCTGTGCAGGAACCGGGCTTGGCTTCCTGCCGTTTCTGTAACCTTCTCGCCTGGCACTGCCCCGGCTGCGGAACCTTGTGAGCGTGAGCCCAGGGAGGCCACTGGCTGCCTCGCTGCCCCCGTCAGGCCCCAGCGTGGGCGGCTGGGGCCCCTCGGACAGCTGGGACTGCGGCCAGGAGGAGGCTGCAGTCCTCCGGCTCCTTGAGCGCTGCCCTGAGATGTCCCCAAGGCCCTGGGTAAAACAGAGATGGCTCTGCCTGCTCCGAGAAATGCCTGTTCCTCCATTTTTGTTCCCTGCCCGCGGGGCACGGCAGCCAGAGACCCTTTGCAGTGCAGTCGAAGCGGTCCTGGGCTTTCGTGCGGATCTGCGGCGGCTTCTCGGGCTCCTCCCGGTCCCAGGCTGGCGCCCACGAGCGAGAGGGCCGGTGGGGGTCCTGGGTCTTTTGCTCGGTCCCCCGCACTGCTGGAGTGCTGGGCTCAATCGTGGATCCCCCGCGCTCTAATGGCTTCCCCTCTTTGATCAGTCAAGCCCGGCAACGTGAGGACCATCATTCAGCACTTTGAGAACAGCCAGAACTGCGACGGGCCAGAGGCCAGCCTGCAGCGGCTCTCCACGGGCAGCTTCCCTGAAGACCTTCTGGATTCGGACAGGTGAGGGGCTCAGCTGGCTCTGGTGGAGATCCTTCCTCCCCCGGGGAGATCTCTCGGCAGGTCTGGGTGACCCTCCTCTGTTTCCCCAGTGAACAACTGGCCATCAGCTCTCAGTCTCCCGGCTGCTGTGCCCGCCCGCTGATGCCAGAGCCCTTTGGGAAACGGTGGCATGGAGGGGCTGGTCCTGGGGAGCTCCCAAATTCTCACCCCTCCCTCTAGTTCCAGGGCCGAGATCAGGCTGGGCCGGTCGGAGAGCCTGAAGGGGCGGGAGGAGCTGAAGAGGCTGCGCAGGGCAGAGAACGTGCCCCGTTCCCGGAGTGACGTCGACATGGATGCTGCCGCTGAAGCTGCCCGGCTTCACCAGTCGGCATCGTCCTCAGCGTCCAGCCTCTCCACACGGTAAAGCGGAGCCTCCTTGCACCCTGCTGGAGCCTGGGTGGCTGTGGGGAGTGGCCGTGGCATCTCTTGGGCATCCGAGCTCGGAGGAGGCCAGCCAGATTTTGCTACTTGCTGAGGGTAAAACGAGGAACAGAACCTGGAGGCTGCTGGAGAAGGGAATTTGTGCCTTCCTGGACTTGGGGTTCTGCCAGGCATAAGAGAGGGGGTTGATGAAGTGCAGGGTTGGCATTTCCCCAGAAGGATGCCGCTGGATCAAAATCCTGCGGCGGCTCAGAGGGGCTGTGGGCTGATCCTGTAATGTCTTCCCGTCTCCAGGTCTCTGGAAAACCCCACGCCACCCTACACCCCCAAAATGGGGCGCAGGTGAGTGCGTAGCAGTTAGAGAGGGAAGAGGAGCAAGGGGCAGGAGAGATTTTCCCATCCAGGAGTCAGTGGGTCAGTTTTACGTTTGGCAGCTGTTGGTGACTGCAAACCCCCAGACAAGCCCCATATTTTTTAAATCGTCATTTTTAAATCTGGATGAGTCTTTGTTTGGTTTTCTTCCCCCTCCCTGTTCTCCCAGGTAGAGGGGCTGTAAAACTGTTGCTAAGGTGATCTGGGGTGCCTTCCCTGTCCCCAGGGGGCCCAGCCTGATCCCTTCTCGCCCTCTTGCCTCCGCAGGAGCATTGAGTCGCCCAACCTGGGCTTCAGTGCGGAGACCTTCCTTCCCCACCTGCTGGAGGACGAGCTCGGCCAGCTCTCGGACCTGGAGGTGGAGCCGGACTCCCAAAACTGGCAGCACACGGTCGGCCGAGAGGTCGCAGCCCACCTGTCTCAGCGGGAGATTGACCGCCAGGAGGTCATCAATGGTGAGGAAGGAGGAATGAGGGGGCTGGGCCGGCGAGGTCCCTGGGGGGAGAGGACACGTGTTGGCAGAGAAACCCTGGTTGCACGGTTTGGTGGAGGAAGAGAAGTCTTGGAAAAGTCCTCCAGGCCCAGATCCTGTCCATGCTGGCTGAGGAGAGCCCTTTAGGACTTGGAAGGGTAGGGGGTCTGCAAGCTTGGCTCTCCTCCCATGGCCCGTGGTGCCCAGCTGGGATCTGACTTGGCCCTCCTGCTGACATTCCTCCCCCCAGAGCTGTTTGTGACCGAGGCTTCCCACCTGCGGATCCTGCGCGTGCTGGACATTCTCTTCTACCAGCGCCTGAAGAGGGAGAACCTGCTTTCCCGGGAGGAGCTGGCTCTGCTGTTCCCCAACCTTCCAGAGCTGATCGAGATTCACAGTAAGGCTGCCCCAGGCCCCTTGGTCTCCGGGGGTCCCGCTGGGTTCAGCTTTAAGGGAAAGCTTTTCTTAGAAATGAGAGACGCCGTCTGAAAAGAGGAGCAGAGCAGAAAGACAGGAGCTAACAGGAAAGGCTTGAAACGAGTCTTCCCTGGATTTGCAGAACTGAGAAGCCCGCCCTCTGCCGTCCAAGAAGGGCACAGGCACTGCCTTGACCCTCTTCTGGCGCTGCAGCTGAGACTGGGAGGGTGGGGGTGAGATGATGGGCTGGGCTCCCAATCGGCTGGAACCCACCTCCCACGGTTTATTCAGTAGAAAGCCAGCAGCGTCTGGGCACCGCCCAGGACCTGGTTGGGGTGCTGTTGGGGAGACGGGGGTGTGTGCGTGTTTCCTCTGGAGGTTTCGCTCCTTTTAGTCTGCCCCACCTTCCCTTCCCCAGACGCCCTGTCGGAATCGATGAAGAAACTGCGGGAGGAGGGACCCGTGGTGAAGGAGATCGGAGACCTCATGCTTTCACGGGTGAGCCACTGGAATGGGGCTGTGTCTCGGGGCCACGCTGGAGCAGACCTTGCCCCGAGTTGGACCTGAGACCCCCCGCCCCCGTCATCATCTCCTCCTCCTCCTCCTCCTCCTCCTCCCCGCTAGTTCGATGGGGCTGCGCGTGAAGAATTCCAGCAAGTGGCGGCCGAGTTCTGCGCCTACCAGTCCATGGCGCTGGAGCTGATCAAAACCAAGAAGCGGAAGGAGACGCGCTTCCAGCTGTTCATGCAGGTGGGCTGTACGCACCCTCGGGAGCAGTGAGGAGTCCTTGGGGGGCTTTTCCTGCACCCAAGGGAGAGATCGATAAGGGCAACCCCTGGAAAACACACACAACACACAGAGAGATCTAGCAGGTAGAGCACGTGCGGAATGCCGTGGGTGTTTGCGGATGAACGGGGGGAGCGGAAGAGGCCTGCAGGGGGTGCCGATCCACCCAGCCCGCTTTCTGCTCCTCCCAGGAGGCCGAGAGCAACCCCCAGTGCCGGCGTCTGCAGCTGAAGGACCTCATCATCTCCGAGATGCAGCGCCTGACCAAGTACCCGCTGCTCCTGGACAGCGTCATCAAGCACACTTCTGGTGGGTGGCTGGTCCTCCTCGAGACGGCCGCCTTCTGCCTCGCTCAGCCCCTCTGCTGACCGGCTCCCCTTCCCTGTGCCCCGCCCCCCCGCAGGGCAGACCCTGGAGCACCGGAAGCTCTGCCGGGCCCGAGACCACTGCCGCGAGGTCCTCAGGTATGTGAACGAGGCGGTCAAGCAGGCTGAAAACCAGCACCGCCTGGAGGCCTACCAGAAGCGCCTGGATGCGACCTCACTGGAGCGGACCAGCAACCCCATCGCGACCGAATTCAAAGTAAGCCTGGGGCCTGGCGGGCGTACCCTGCGCGGCCCCACCCGCAACTGATTCATTTCCTGCCTGTCCTGCCCAGAACCTTGACCTTCGAAACCGCCGGATGATCCACGAAGGACTTCTGGCCTGGCGCATCAGCAAGGACAAGACTGTGGGTCTGTAGAAGCGGAAGCAAAGGGGTGGGGAAGGTCCGGTATGCTTTTGGCGTCCCCGCGCCACTTTTCCACGGAAGGAGCAGGATGCGGCCCGCTTTGGGAAAGGAGGCATCGAGGGCCACAAATCATCCGTGGCGCTGGGGGGGCACGAGAAGAGCGGGGGCGTGCTCAGAGCTCGCGCTCTCTGGCTTTCAGATCTGCACGTGCTGCTGCTGGAGGACATGCTGGTGCTGCTCCAGCGGCAGGATGAGAAGCTGGTCCTGAAGTGCCACAGCAAGATGGCGCTGGGCTCCTCGGACACCAAGCAGACCTTCAGCCCTATCCTGAAGCTCAACTCCGTCCTCATCCGCTCCGTGGCAACCGGTAAGCTCAAAGCCCCGGGCGTGTTGTGCGGCCGCAGCTTCCGTTGCCCGCCCG